CTGTCCTGGATTCCCTGTGTTTCCAGTTCCTATCTGTACCAATGTACATCCTCTAGTCTAGCCAGATTTGTAAGGTAGAATTGGGATCATGATAGTGAGGGGAGGAAGTATTTAAGAACTAGAGGAATGTTATGTTTCATCATTGCTACCCTGCACCCTGACTGGCTCTTCTCCTCCCCACAGTCCTTCAGAAAGGGGGTGTCCAGTTGCCTACAGATGGGCTTTGAGTCTCCACTCTGCACTCACCCACCTTTACCATGACATGATTTCTTGTTTCTTGATGCCTGATACCTGATCCCTTTGACATCTCGTGGTCACACAGGCTGGTTTGCTTCTTCCATGTAGGCTTTGTTGCTTCTGAGCTAGATGGCTGCTTGTTTACCTTCAAGCCTTTAAAACCCCAGACGCTATATCTTTTTATAGTGGGGCACCATGAGCTTTCTTCACCACATTTGCTTATGCACACATTTGTCTTCAGTGATCATATTGGGAAGGTGGGCACCCACTGATATGAGTTTTTGTTCTTTGATGTGTGATACCCAGTCCCTTCTACACCTCGTGGTCACACAGGTTGGTGTGCTTCTTCCATGTGGGCTTTGATGCTTCTGAGCTAGATGAACCCAGATGCCTTATCTTTTGATAGCCGGGCACCATCAGCTTTCTCCACCACAATTGCTTATGCACACATTTGTCTTCAGGGATCGTGTAGGGAAGGTGTGCATCATGGAATGCCAATTTAATAGACCAATGTGTTCATACATTGAGTAAGTACTTGAGTGGAGGTCCAATATCCCTCTGCTGCCTTAATACTAAACCTCTAAAAATATGCTCGTAGATCTATGTCCCCACCAGCCTATATAAATATATTTACATATGGACATACCTGTATTTAGACCTCTATAAATAACCTTTGTCTCCTAGTTTTTACTCTATTTCCTTTTACTTTCCTCTTGTCCCACTATCATGCTCAGCCTTCATTTGGTTTTCAGTAATTTCTTTCTGTTACATTGCCCTTGCTGAACCCCTACCAGGCCTGTCACACTCTTCTTGCCACTAATTTTGGATCACTTGTTGCTCCCCTGTCCCTGGGTTGATCAACACCACCTCCTTACCCCTGCATCCTCCTCTCCCATGTCCCTCCCCAAAAAAGTTTTATCTTGATTGTTAGTTCAGAACGGTTTGGCGGTTCTTGTGAATCCATGTAATGTAGTGTCACCAGGGACTTGGGTGGGTGTTTACATTACTGCCCTTTGGAAAGTCATGCGGAAAGGAAAGCTCAGGCAGTTCAGAGACAGGCCTTTGCCCTGTTCCTCGTCTCTCAGCTTGGAGCTCTGTTTCAACACCTTATTATCTTTTTCTTACTTTCCTGTTTTTCATTTATTCTTAATTCTACCCCATCAGGTTCTGTCTTTACTTCCTTTAGCTTCTTCTTTTGTTATCTTGTAGTAATATTTCTCAATCAGCAAAATCACTTATTCACTTTTACTATGATCTCTATGGATTTAAATTTTTAATTAAACTTATTTTAATATGAAATGAAAATCTACTTTCTCAGTAGCAATAGGCCATCTCAGGTGCCTAATAAGTCCATGTAACTAGTGGTTCCTGTATTGGATAGAGCAGATAAAAGATAATTTTGTGTTACAGCAAGTTTTATTGTATAACACTACTATGAATTATAAGACTTGTGAGGACAGAGGACCATTTTTATTGGTCTGTGTACATAAAGGATACAATGGGGACTCTTGATAGATGTCTTAGAACACAAATATTAACATATCTATATCATTGTTCAGTTGTTTGTCACATTTTTTATTTTTGGCTTTTTGGACTATTTTGTGATTCAAGGGAAATCCATCAGTTTGTGTTTTTCTTTGATTTCACTGTATGAGCAGGTCCATTTGTTGTGTGCTGAGGGCTCCCTTCTGGCTCACAATGACCTTACAGGACAGAGCAGAGGCCCCCAGGGTTAGCTCAAGTCGAATCTCTACAGGAGCAGGTCACCGGGTTCCTGTCCTGTGGAGCTGCTACAAGGTCTGAAACTGGACTTGTATGTTAGCAGCTGAGCATTGTAAGGTGGTGCCACCGGGCCATCTACATTGTGTCCAATATGTGTTATTTACAAGTTACATGCTATTGTTGGAATCGCTGATTAAGTTAAAGATTCTTTAAAAAAATTCGTTGTATATTTAGGTAATGCACATTGTTAATGCTGTTATTTTTTGATTTAAGTGGCAGTGATGGCTCCTTGGTGATCATTCCTTGGCATGAACATACACACCGAGATAAGGATTGGTGTGAGGAGTCGGCGTGCAAGTGAGTATGAGCCAGCGGGAAGTGTCTGCAGTCCTTGGTGCGATGAATGGATAGGTAGCCCTATGAGGGCAGTATCAGAAGTGTGATTTCTGAATTGATGGTTGTTCATGATGGTGACAGTTGGTTTGAAGTTTAAAAACAATACTCTGGGTTTAGTTGTGTTAAAAAGTGTTGCTTGATCTCAGGCTATTGAATGCCAAATAGCAATCTGCAGGTGCCCCTACTTCAGTCAGGGAATTCCTATCATGACATTTGCTAAAGGATAGTCGTCTTCCAAGAGAAGTTTGTCCTTTTGACTTAAGTTCTTTCACATTTTGATCCTAATGAATGCTTTGTCTATTTTTTAAGCCATTGGGTAACTGATGTTTATTTTCAGAAATGTTATTTGACAAATGATGAAGCATGCACGAAATACAATTTTCTGTCTTGCTGGAGAAGGAACATGTAATTAGATTTCCCCCTTTTACTCTGGCTACTTGCAGAATGAAGGAGAAGTGTCAGGAAGCATGTATTTGCATTTATGTCTTGCCACAAAAGGGAAAGTATTGTACAGTCTGTAAACAGATTGTGACATTCTGTGTAAGAATATCATCAGCAAAATAAAAAATTCAGAAATGAAAAATAAAAGTTTTACTTGAAAAAGTCTTAACAGGTTATGAAGGAATTGCTTGAAAAAAACTCTAATACACCAACTCTTTTTCGTATTGCGATAATCTTTATTGGGGTTTGACATACACATGTATTTTTCATAGCTGTAATCATACTGTGCACTGGACTTTGCCCTTGACTTTTCCTTTTCCTTTTTTGTAAAATGTAACCTTGCCAAGCCTCGGAACTTGGAGGCATCAGATACTGCACAAGCGGGTAAAGGAAGTGAAGCATGGGGCGGAAAGTCCACAAGGGGGACATTGACTCGAACTCTGTCGACATTACTACTGAAGTCATGTTCCTTCATATTTTGCCCAAATGACATTAGAGGACGGTTCTCGCAAAACACATATTTCCGATGGTCTTAGGAATGGAGACACCGCTCCTCTATCCGTCTCCTCTGTTCATCTCCCGGCGGGTCCGCCCACATGCAAACATACCCACATATGAGTACCCAGCATGAAGACTGTTACCCATGCTACACCACGCTTCAAGACAAAATTTCATTTATTTGTAATTAGAAATCAATATTTCACAATATATAATTACATATAATTTTAGTGATTCAACACCATACTTTAATTATGTTCCATTTGTAACAATGAAAATACATGCGGTTATCAGATGTTTACATGACGATTCATAACAGTAGCAAAATTACAGTTATGAAGTAGTAACGAAAACAGTTTTATGGTTGGGGGGTCACCACCACATGAGGAACTGTATTAAAGGGTCATGGCATTAGGAAGGTTGAGAACCACTGCATTAGAGGCTTATTTGTGGACTCACAAATTGAGCCTTAGAGTCTCTAGATTGAGCCAGGGAGCACCTAGATTTTTGCATATTAGGTACTGCCTAGGGTGAGAGTGAAGTGTTAGGGCTGAAGGGAGAGACGTTTAGTGAAACTGTTTTCTGGATGCAGAAAGCCTGTTTCCTTCAACTCTGCCAGCTCCCAGGATGCTGCTGCCAGGCACATACATTCCCAAAGTAAGGGTTGGAGAAGTCTTTTCTGGAGAAACAGAATAGCTTCTAAAACGAAGGCTCTGGATGACTGAGATTTACGCCCATGTGGTCAATGTACTAGCAGATCACATGAAACCTACCTATCTTTTAATCTTGGCACACCCTCAGAGTGTCTTAGGTGATTTAACAAGGAAAACAAATGAACAGAAAGGGCAAAACAAGCAGATAAGAGGATCAGAGACGAATACCATTTAGATAAAAACTTCAAAAATATAGTTGGTATAAAAAAATTAGAAGAATTGGGAGGTAAAAGTAAGGAACTTAAAAACATGTACAAAAGTTTTCGAGAGAGAACAAAATATGGAGCTAGAAAACATTTTTTTAAATGAGTCTAATATTCGATAAGAGGTAACATGTAACATCTATTGCAATTGAACTGAACCTATGCAGATTTCTGAGGCTGTAAATCCGTTGTTTTTTAATGGTGTTTTTCTTTTCTCTTTGCTGAGATTTTAAACAGCTTTATTGGCACATAATTTACATATCATACAGTCCAATAGTTTAATTATACCAAAAAAATTGTATGCTCCCTCCCCCCAGATAAATTGTTTTAAAATGAGTTGTGCAATCACAGTCAGTTCTAGTGCTCCCTCTCCACTCCCGCCTTCGTTCTTTATTCTCTGAATCCCCTTTCCTTCCTTGTCACACCGTCCCTGCCCCTACATCCCCTGTAAACCCATGTATCAGTTATCACCACTATGCATCCACTACTCCTGTGTTTCACAAACTGTGATATGCAATAGAAACAATAAAAACCAAAATCAAAATAAGGTGGTAAGGATAAAAGGATAATTATATAAAGACCAAAATACAAATAATGAGTAAGAAAGAAAAGACCCCCATCAACATTCAGAAAGCCAGAGAAGAAATTATTGTCATAGAACAAGTAATAGATACTTTCACCCAGAACCAATTCAGGTCGGGTCTGTTGCGAGGTCGACTGGCCAGGTGTGTCGGGTTCCCTCCAGCTGTCAATCTTTCAGGAGCAGGTGCTTCTCCACTCTTCTGTGGAGCAGCTGTTGGGTTTGCAGCGCCAGCCTTGCGTTTAGTGGTCCAATGCTTACATATCTAATAAGAAAGAGAAAATTACAATATTTTGTGACTTTTAGTTAGAATTAAAGATTACGAGTTTCCTGATTGAAATGTTCAGCACTCATCCCATCATGACATTCCAGAAAAATCAGGGCTACAATATCCTTTACACCCACGATGTAAAAGGAATTGGGATGAGAAAGACCTTAGACATCTGTGGTAGTTTTATAATCTGTTGTCAACTTGAGACTATTAAAATTGAAGAGGTGGAGTTTAGCCTGTCAATCAGGTCCTAGCTTGATGACCTCCTTTGGAGGTGCTAAGGAGATAAATAGCTCACTGGAGTTGGGACACACACCCACTCCCTGTGAGCCTTTCCTGTTGACAAGCCACATGAGCTATGCTGATGGCAGCCAGAGCCTTGGAGCTGGAGGAGCCATGTGGAGACCCACGCCAGCGTTGAGATGCTTCCACTGCCACTGGATCCACAAGACTTTCCATTCACTGGCCTGTGATCTTCCTGCATTCTGTATCATTGCATGTGTTGCATGAGTCTGAAGAGGAATTTATAGACTGGTATCAGATATATGGGCTAATATCAGACTTAAGAACTTGATTTGGACTGGAGTGTTTTCTTAATATACAATTACTCTTTGATGTAAGACTTTCTCTTAAACACATATGAGTCTGCCTGGATTTGTTTCTCCAGCTGACCAGGGCTAAACCCATCTAGTCATTACAAGGACCGTAACTTGGAGGTCATCTCCAAGTAATTACCGCACCACAAATATCCTGCTGTACTTCTGTTTTGAATTTCGTTTACATGTTTTTGTTTTAATTTTTATCAAATTTATATATTTACATATACATTAACAAGTCAAAATATTTTATAAGCTAAAAGCAAATAACCAAAACCCTTTATACCCTTTCCTCCATATTCTGTTCCTCCAAAGTAAATATTTTTATTTATTTTAAATGGTAATTTTTTTGTATTTATAGCCATATTTCTGAATGGCATAATTGTTTAGCTGCTTCTTGATTTTTAAAATATTGACCATATCTGTTAACTTTCAAGAATGGAAGATAATGACTTAGTTTCTTGTTTGCTGTGGACCTGCTCCCCAGCAGTGCTTATGATGAAAAGAAACAAAGGAGCAAACTGACTCCAAAACCGCGACCACCGCTCCATAGGCTTTCAGGAGAGCGTGTGGAGGTGTTACGATGAGAGACGGGGGCCGAGGGAACCGATGGGATGAAGGGCAGTGGCTGTGGTACTCAAGAACTTGGCAGGGAGATTGTGGGTCACACAAACTCCCCGAGTTCTGCCTGGTGCTTTTTGCAGAGTAGCTCTAGCCTAGCACTTTCTCCATTCAGCTGACAAATCCCTTTCTCCGTATCCCATGCTTGCTCAAGATTCTAAGATGTAGTTAAAAAGAGTTAGGGGTGCTTTTTCTTAGAACAACCACAGAAAGCTGTCCAAAAAGTAATGCATACATATATGTAAGGAAAACATACCCTGCCGGAACTTCCAAAACTGTAAAAATGTAAAGCTAGGAAGAATTCTGTAGAGAAAGTAATGATTTTAAAGATGATACAAATTTTTAGTAGTACAGGTCATTTATATTGTGTGTTCATTTAATTTGCACTTGACCTCTTTCTTCCTTCAATGTCCTTAAAACTAGCAAACAGATATAGTAGTCGCTATCCTTGTGAAGTACTCAGTCTAGTAGGAAAGTGTCTGCTGCTACTGTAATGACAGTCGGAACGAGTACTATGAGAGGGAAGTGCAGAGTATGCTGGGAGTATGCACTAAGGATTCCTAAACTTGGTGAACGTCACGAAGACCTTCCATCAAAATGACCGGAAAGCTGAAGTCTGAGAGAAGCAAAGACTTATACTCTCTAGAAGATGCGTTTGGTGGATGAGCACAGGGAGGGTGGAAGTAGAGAAATGAATGTTGGGAGTTTCAGGGAAAATCCTCCTTCAAGGACTGAAAATAGCCGTTTCAACGATGCCTTCAGAATAAGAGTGAAATTGACATCAAGAGGAGGGTGGGTATTTTAAGACAAACTAGAAGCTGCGAAGTGTTTCAGGCGTGGGTTGAGATACTCAAGGTTTTTTTGAAAGGAGAAAACTATTATCTGAGAATATTAGCAATTCTACTTTGAACTTACTGCATGTGAAAAAATCTAGAACAAATACACCTACTCCTCCCTTACTGACAGTCTCGTTATCTGGTATTTTGTAATTACGACAACAGTGAAAAAGAACTGTCCAATTATTTTGTGCTTTAGTAACAAATGGTAAATGTGGAACAGATACATGGCCGAGGTCCCAGATGAGAAATTATGCTGACTGATTGTTAAGGTTGTATGTCAGCTTGGCATACAACTGATTTTCAGTGATTTAGTGGTTTTGTGATCATGTCATTTGACGGTTTTGTAATACTGATGTAGGTGTCATCCATTTTATCGTCTTATGTGGTCAACTTCCATTTTTGCTTAATGCTGTTCTTTCATTGGACCCTAACTGTCTGAGTAGATTCAGAAAATTGTAGAGCTCATAAGTATATTAGATGAAGTATAAGTGAAACCCTGGTGGTATTGTGGTTCTGCATTGAGCTGCTAACCCCGTGATCAGCAGTTTGAAACCACTAGCCACTCTGAGGGAGAATCATGAGGCTTTCTCCTCCCGTAAACAGTTCCGCTGCAGACACCCACAGGGGCCCATCTGCTCTGTCTGTGGGTTGCGGTGGGTTGGAATGGACTCCATGCAGTGAGAGCAGTGAAGTCTGCCGGAGGAAGATGAGATTACCTGCTCCCATAAAGATCTCCAGAGCCTCAGAAACCCCACATAGCATAGCACAGGGGATGGGGTTTGCGCTTTTCAGATGGTGGGGGTCACCAGACCTAGCACCTATCTAGGTGGCCTTGGAGGGCAGATTAAAGCAATGCCGGACTTCCAAGGGCAGGTGGTTTATGTGAGAGGCTTGGGGAACTGACCAGGGGCTGGATTGCTAGGTATGTGGATAGCTAGGTATGTGCACCTTGGGCAGCCTCTGGGCCCCTGGTCTTTCAATCTGTCTCAAGCCTATGTGTAAAAACCTGCTGCAGTTTCTACTTACTTTGTTATGCTAATATTTTGTTAATGAACCAGGTGAGTGTTAGCTTGCACCCAGGGAAGTTTAAAATGAGAGAAAAGGGGGAGGGGAGTGTAAAAAAAAAAAGCCTTTGAATGCCTGTGTTCTTCAAGCTTTTTGAGCTTTTTGGGTGTCCTAAGATCGGCAGGGGTGGGGTGGGAGTGTCGGGGTGGCTCGTGGAGCTGAACCTCAGGGAAGGTAGGTTAGTTTTGCCTGGTTGGGCTGAAGCTCCCTGGGATCCTGGGAAGAGTGATCTATTCGCTATTTATGCCTGCTCCAGACTGCCCTGTAGAGTTACCCACATGAGCTTCACTCTCTTTGGATGATGGGGTGACCAAGTGGGGTTAGAGGAGTGGGGACTGTAACTGCCACCTACCTTGTTGGGCTAGGGGGCAGGGCCTACTCAGAGGGCAGGTTTTCCTATCTGAGAGACTAGGGAGCTGAGCAGGGCCTGTAGCCAGGATTAAGGCAAATTCTGTACAGGAGCCGAAAGCCTCATCGTTCTTCCATGAAGGAGCTGCTGATTTCAAACATATAAGCTGTTCCACCAGGGCTCCTTATTGTACCATTTATAAGCACAGTGGGTTGTCTAAGGCCACATGGATAAAATTTGCAAATATTTAATGGCCATATATATGATTTGTCTGATCATATATGTACTCCAATTAATCATAGTTTTAATACAATATTAATTATAAATAAGCATGAAGTACTTGCTGAGCACCACAGAGTATGCTCGCTGTACTTACTTTGCACTAGTTTGAGTAGTCACCGTGCTCCTTTATAGGACTGCCCGTCCGTTCTCATAGGGAGACACTGACTCTCAGACCAGTGAAGAACTCTGCAGGTCTCACAGCTTTCAGTGAGGCGACTGCATGGCCGATTCCATTCTGATTCCAAAGCCCCACCCTTTCAAAAAATAATATTTTATTATGTTTAGGCTGAAAGTTCATACAGCAAATTAGGTTTTTATTGAATAATTTCTGTACAGATAACTTCATGATACTGGCGTAACTTTTTACATTGTTTCACAATTCTCATGTGTTCCATTCCACTTGTAGCATGTTCAGTATCTAGTTTCCATGGCCCACTATGGCTTCCTTCCATATTGCTGTAGCGTCATTTTTGACCAGTTGGTCTCCTACAGGCAGGTTTTTAAAAGAACCAGTCCCTCACAATCGATATTCTTTCTTTTGTGAGCTAAAAGGTGACTTCAAAAGATAATTGCATTATAAGGTTTAAAGTGCACGTGGGGAATCTTTGGTCTCACTGGTCTCGTGAGTTAGAACTTTTTAAACAGAATTTGACTTTTGTCCTTACTTCCCCCCCATTCTATAAGGACACTTGTGTTGTGCCCTGATCAGAGTAGACATCAGTGGTGGCCTGGCACCGTATAGTCCTGATCTCAGCCAGAGAGGGCGGTGGTTTGTATAGATTATTAGTTCTAGCTGCTGCTTCGAGTCGTTGGTTTTCTTCTTTCTCGTTCTTTAACTCTGGAGACCAGTAGTTGGGACGTGGGTGGCTTCCACAGGCTTTTTAGTCTCCCAGACCCTACCCGTCACAATGGGATGCAGAACTTTCTGAACTATGTTATGCCAGTTAACAGAGTGGTCCTAGGAGATGATGCACCTAAACCTTCAAACCCAGAAGCCCAACCTTGTGAGGTGCTTGCGTATGTTTAAGAAGTGTCCATAACTATCCCCATACGGTTTATTATATATATGAGGATATGGTGCATATATAAATGAATGTTCTGTGTGTATCTATGCTTGTAGTTATTTCTGTCTGTGTACACATATTTACATATTTGTTAAACCACACACATCCTGTGGTAGTGATTGGTCTATTACCTTTTAATAGTAAACCAATAACTATATTTCTCGATTGCTACATACTTTAGATACAAATGTTCCTTGTGGAACACATTCTACATGTTCATCAGGAATATTTTAGTTTAAATTTCTTTCTTTCTTTGATCCATCCATCCGTGCATCCAGGTATGCATGCATCCATCCATCCATCTGAGTGCATTTGGCCTGGATAATCCTTATAAAGACTCCTTATAAGTTATGATCTCTGTGACACTATATGCATGTACATTCCTCTAGCCCAAACTCAAAACGCACTGCCCTTGAGTCAATTCAGAGTGACCCTATGCAACAGAGGTTTCTAAACGGATTTGGTATACTACCACCTTATCAGGGGAAAAAAAGTCCCCAAGCAAATACTACCTCCAGTAACTGCAAATTTTAGTGCTATTGCCCATAATCCAGGATAAATGTAAGTATTTGCTTTTGCAGCCCTCTCTGGGATCATTCTCTTGCTACCCAGGGCATGGTGTCACCCACTTTGGGAAATACTGCCATACAGGGTTGACAAGGTTGTAAATCTTTATAGGAACGGACATCCTCATCTTTGCCCCTTGAGTAGCTGGTTCGGGTTTGATTTGAACCACCAACGTTGTCTAAAATGAAATTTATTTTTCTCACTTGCTGGAGGATGGTATAGAGGAATTCTTTATGATGTAAAGATCAGTGCAGCTTCCATGACGCACATCTTCCCGACACGATCACTGAAGACAAATGTGTGCATGAGCAAATGTGGTGAAGAAAGCTGATGGTGCCCGGCTATCAAAAGCTATAGCGTCTGGGGTCTTAAAGGCTTGAGGATAAACAAGCGGCCATCGAGCTCAGAAGCAACATAGCCCACATGGAAGATGCACACCAGCCTGTGTGACCACGGGGTGTTGAAGGGATCAGGTATCAGGCATCGAAGAACAAAAAATCTTATCATTGTAAATGAGGGTGAGTGCAGAGTGGAGACCCAAAGTCCACCTGTAGGCAACGGGAGACCCCCTTACTGAAGGGTTGCGGGGAGGAGATGAGCCAGTCAGGGTGCAAGGTAGCAATGATGAAACATATAACATTTTGGTACATATATAACAGAATGGTACATATTAAAACATCTAGTTCTTAAATGCTTCCTCCCCTCACTATCATGATCCCAATTCTACCTTACAAATCTGGCTAGACTAGAGAATGTACATTGGTACAGATAGCAACTGGAAACACAGGACAGATGACTCCTTCAGGACCAGTGGTGAGAGTGGTGCTACCAGGAGGGTGGAGGGAAGATGGGATAGAAAGGGGGAACTGATTACAGTTATCTACATATAACCTCCTCCCTGGGGGATCGACAACAGAAAAGTGGGTGAAGGGAGACGTCGGACAGTGGTAAGATATGACAAAATAATAATTTATGGATTATGAAGGGTTCATGAGGGAGGGGGGAATGGGGAAGGAGGGGAAAAATGAGGAGCTGATATTAATGGCTCAAGTAGAAAGCAAATGTTTTGAGAATGATGATGGCAACAAATGTACAAATGTGCTTGACATGATGTATGTATGTATGGACTGTGATAAGAATTGAGCCCCCAATAAAATGATTAAAAAAAAGATCGGTGCAGCATTATATTGTAAAGTATTCAACCCTTCCAAGTATGGACTATTTCGTTATTTTTAGGAATGAGTAAAGCAAGGCTTCTTTCATCATGTTTGACTTGGAATCTCCTGTGGATGTTTTCCTACAGGAGGCACAGCTGGCTATTTATATGTAGTAGGCCTGTGCTTGGCACTCAGCCATGTGCGTTTTATAGAAGCTTTCCAGGATGGTTTTATTTTTGTTAGTTGTATTTGATTTATTTTGTGGTATGGTGTGTTGATTTAATAGCAGTTTTCATTTTTAATTGAGGAAGAGCAATAGGAAAATAAATTAAGCATATTAAAAGGTCCCATTTATCTTCTGAATCTTTACATGTTTATAAGAAATCACAGTTTGTCTCTGTAGCCTGTTGGTTCCCCATCTCCTCTCTCTCACAAAATTATACTGTGTGTGTGTGTGTGTGTGTGTGTGTGTGTGTGTGTGCAGGCACGCACATGCAGATTTCTAGTCCATTACTAATTACTCTCTTGTGTTTTGCAGAATGGTTGTTGAGCCAAGTCTCCAAGATGAAAATGAATTTTTGTATAGTGCACAGCCCGAATTACTCAAATACAGGACAACTCAGCTTGCCGTGGAGAAGGTTACAGAATGGTACCGCACCCGAGCAGAGGAGATAGAGCATTATGCTCGACAGGTGAGGGCATGACTCACAGCTGTTTGCAGAAATGCTCGTAGTGGTTTGAAGTCTTTGGACGAAGTACATGTAATGAATGCTATATAATTTGCAAGGAACAAAATTAATATGTCTCATTATTTTTGTTCATATATTCATGGCCTCAGAAAGTTTACAGCTCTTTTTGGATTCTCAGGAGTAAATACACAGTAAAAATTGTTCTATAAAATGTGAGCTGTAGTGTATGATGTGCACTCTCCTAGGTATTCTATATTTTAGTAAGTTTAAAACCACATTAATTTAAAAGATTATATCAATCCAGAATTGCTGAATTTGTCTCTCTCATAGTATAGCGGGAGAGTTGGTTATTACCATATAAACTTACGTGTCAAACGAGTTTTCAGCACATTTTAATACAGCTTCTGTGGTAAAATTAGGTGCCTCGGCTGATATGCGGGTCAGCTTATACTCGAGTATATATGGTTTTGTCTTTGAGGAACTTTGCTTGAAGTTCTGTTCCTAATTATGGGGAAGCCTCTCAAAGTTTATGGAAAAATACCATTATCTTTTAACTTCATTTTTCAGTGAACTTTTTGAAGCCCTCATGTTTTTCCCATGTGTACGCCTAGTTCTCTCGTCCGTATGAGCCTTTTCTGACTGTACACCGACTGCGTCAGGGGGGCTGTGGAAGAGGGTTGCTGTGGTCCTCATGATATCACAGTACCTGTCTTAACTTTGACCAAGACACCCTGTGACTGTGGGCATGTTTCCTAACTTTCTGTCCCTTGATTTTCTCATGGGGTTATTTCTTGTATGAAACTAATAAGAAACAAAAGAAAATGTACACTAGAGAGCAACAAAAAATGCTGCCAATTGAAGTATTCTGTAAACGTAAGAAATTGTTGTTTATATCATAAACCCTAAAACAACCATACAATAGCAACAGAAAATAGTGGCTGTGGAGTCAGTTTCTACTCACGGTGTCTTGTGTTCCCCAAAGAAGTACTTTTAAAATCCATGCCCTTTCTGAAGCATATTGACAGACTTGTTTCCTGAGGCATCTCTCCAATCAAACTTAAAACTCACTGCCATAGACTACCTTCCAATTCATGGGAACCTCATAGGACAGAATAGAAACACCCCTGTGAGTTTTCACAACCACTCTTTTTTTTTTAATTAAAAAAATTTCAAAATCATTTTATTGGGGGCTCCTACAATTCTTCTTACAAACCATACATCAATTTTATCCAACATATTCATACATATATTCCATCAGTCTTTTCTGGACATGTACTTTCCATTGAGTCCTTGGGATCAGCTCCTCTTTTTATCCCTCCCCAACCCTTGTGACCCCTTGATAGATTGTCGATTGTTAATTATTTTCAAATCTCACACCGACCGCTGTCTCCCTTCCCCTCTGATTTCTGTTGTTCTTCCATCTGGATGGGGGTGTGTGGTTAGTCATTTCTGTTGGTGCCCCCTCTCCCCCCGCCTCTCCCCCCACCTCTCCCCTGCTCCCCCTGCCCTTTTGGCATCTCTGTTCCCGTTCCCGTTCCTGGTTCCACGTGTTGTGAGTGTTATCTCTTGTCTATACCTGTGCACATGCTCCCGTCTAGTCTCGATTGGGAAGTGGCACCGAGGTCGTGATAGCTGGGGGTGAGGAGGCCTCGGGGATCAGAGGAATATTGCGTGACCCATTATTGCCCTACTGCACCCTGATTGACTCACCCCCTCCCTGCAACCCCTCTGTTGGGGGATGCCCCATTGTCCATAGATGGCCTTGGGTCTACGCTCCAACTCCCCTCCATTCTCACCACTGCAGTTTTGTTTGTTTGCGTACTGTGTGTTGTGAATCTTCTGATGCCTGTTGCCCAGTCTTCATGACACTTCACCATCATACCAGCTGGTGTTGTTGCTTCACTGTTGGATGGCCACTTGTTTCACTTCAAGCCTTTAAGACCCCAGACACTGTATCTTTTAATAGCCGGGCACCATCCTCTGTCTTCACCACATCTGTTTATGCACCCTTTTTGTCTTCAGTGATCATTGGGGCGGGATGGTGAGCATCACAGAATGCCAATCACAACCAATCTATTTTTTTTTGAATTATTTTATTTGGGGGCTCGTACAACTCTTATCACAATCCATATATCAATTGAATCAGGCATGTTTGTATATATGTTGCTCTCATTCTTTTCTAGACATTTAATTTCTAGAATTTCTAATTTAATGAAGCCCTTGGTATTATATTAGCTCCCCCCCCCCCGCCCCCTGCCAACCATAACCTCCTGATAGATTGTACATTGTTATTATTTTCATCTCTTACTCTGACCGCTTTCTGTTCACAACCACTCTTTACAGGAGCAGAAAACCTCATCCATCTCTGGAGAGCAGCTGGTGGTTTCAGACTGCTGAATTCTAGCCTTCCAGTTCATAGTTGAATGCGTATCCATTCGTAACCCCAAGGAGGCCATCACACAGAACAGGGGTGATAATTCAGAGCCCAAATCCAGAATCCACTTGAAAGTATAGTTCAGATTCTACCCATTTCTTATTTTGGCTTTGGCCCATTCATTCTCTCATCAGTTGTTATTTGATAGTAAGGTGATTCCAGAGGGTCAAGTGAACAGTAATAAAGAAATGATATGCGCCCTTTGTTTAAATCTCTTTTACTGAGTATAGTATGGTTCATTTGATACCTTTTTGGGGTGTGTGTGTGTTTCCTTAGTAATCTAATTTCTCTGTCTCATATTCATAAAATTAACAATAAAATTACCCTTGATCACACCCTACCAGGCCTCCTACACCTACACCCTCCTCTCCACCGATTTGGTTAACTTGTTGTTCCCTTGTCCCTGGGTTTGTTAACACCACTTCTTTCCCCCCACCTTCCCCTCTCCCATGGCCCCCCAGAACTGTCGGTCCTGGTATTTTCTCCTCCAGATTGTTATCCAGACTATCTTATTTAGACAGATCTGCGGAGATAATAACATGCACAAAACCAAGCAACAAAAGAAAACAAAACAACAACAAAAAGCCAATGACAAAAAACCAAAACAACAACAACAACAAAAACACAACAAGAACCATAAAAGAAAAGCTTGTAGTTAGTCCAAGGACTGTTTGTTGGCCTTTAGGAGTGTTTTCCGGTCGAGTCTGATGGGGGGCTGTCAAGCCCTGGCCTCAAAGTCTATTTTCATTATTCCCTGGGGACTTCATTGCTCTGTTCCCCTTGCTGTTCTGTTGCACCCCCCCTTCGTGATTTGCCTCGGTGTGGTGGGATCAGATCAGGTGCGGCGTTCTAAGTTTTGGGGATAGCTAAGGATCCTTGAACTTATAAAAAGGTTTAGAATCATAAAATATCAAAATGAGGAAGTTCTGTAAATGCTCCCTCCAGTCTTTTTCTTTGTTTTTTGGTAGAAAAACCAAGGTCCACAGGAAAGAAGAATGGCCAACTATCTTAGGACATACAGAAGTCCAGATCTTAAGCTAATATCTTATAGATATTATAATCTTGACCAGCTATTCAAATCTTAGTGACTGAATAGAGTGAAACTTTAAAATGTAAAAATAAATCAATAAAGATAAATCATTCTCAATCCTTATACCACTAATATTTTTTCTGTAGCAAATATTTTCTAATACATCCTTATCATTCAGATGTGAAAATAGGAAATTTTGCTTTAATTTACAAAAAAGATACTGCTTAATTTACAAAAACAATTAATGTAAAACCAAACTGCAATGTACAGAATAAGTGAAATATATATGCTTTGTCATGATTACACTAGAAGTGAGTGAGTGAAATTCCTTTGAAGAAGAGAGCTCCAACTTTAGGTAGGTTCAGGTTAGTGGTGTGGGTCCATCCCTCATGGAGAAGTTCACATGTATCCTTGTGATCAGTTCCCCCTTTCTACCCCACCTTCTCCTTACCCTCCTGATATTGCTATTCTCATTTTTGGCCCTGAGGGGTTTATCTGCCCTGGACTCATGTGTTTCCTGTTCATATCTGTACCGGTGTACATCCTCTGGCCCAGCCAGATTTGTAAGGTAGAATTGGGATCATGATAATTGGTGGGGGGGTGGGCATTAAAGAGAGTTAGAGGAAAGTTGTATGTTTCATTGTTGCTATACTGCACCCTGACTGGCTCGTCTCCTCCCCGCGACCCTTCTGTAAGGGGATGTCCAGTTGCCTACAGGTGGGCTTTCAGACTCCACTCTGCACTCCCCCTCACTCACAATGATATGATTTTTTATTCTTTTTTTCTTTTTTTTAAATTTATTTATTTAAAAAAATTTTTTTTTAAACATTTTATTATGGGCTCATACAACTCTTATCACAATCCATACACACATCAATTGTGTAAAGCGCATTTGTACATCGTTTCTCAAAACATTTTCTCTCCACTTAAACCCCTGACATTAGGTCCTCATTTTTCCCCTCCCTCCCCGCTCCCCCTTCCCTCATGAGCCCTTGATAGTTTATAAATTGTTATTTTGTCATATCTTGCCCTGTCCAACGTCTCCCCTCACCCACTTTTCTGTTGTCCGTTCCCCAGGGAGGAGGTCACATATAGTCCCTTGTAATCGGTTCCCTCCTTCTTACCCACTCTCCCTCCACACTCCCTGTTTCGCCACTCACACCACTGGTCCTGTAGGGCTCATCCGCCCTGGATCACCTGTATTTTCAGTTCCTATCTGTACCAGTGTACCTCCTCTGGTCTAGCCAGCCTTGCAAGGTCGAATTCTAGTCATGGTAGTGGGAGCTGGGAGGAAACATTTAGGAACTAGAGGAAAGTTGTATTTCTTGTCGTTGTTACATCACACCCTGACTGGCTCATCTCCTCCCCGAGACCCCTCTGCAAGGGGATCTCCAGTGGCCTACTAATGGGCTTTGGGTCTCCACTCTGCACTCCCCCCATCATTCACTATGGTAAGATTTTTTTTTTTGATGATGCCTTATCCCTGATCCCTTCGACACCTCGTGGTTGCATAGGCTGGTATGCTTCTTCCATGTGGGC